AACAACAACAACAACAACAACAACAACCTGGTCCCAAGTCATTTAGGGCTTTACATGTTAACACAAGTGCTTTGAATTGGGCCCAGACTTCAACTGGTAACCAGTGCAGTTGAGAGAGGACTGGCGTGGTGTGTTCTTGTCAGCCAGTCTCTGTTAGCAGCCTTGCTGCCCTATTTTGGATCAGGTGAAGTTTCTGGACTGTTTTCAAAGATTGCCCTACATAGAGGAATCCAAATGAGATGCTTGCAGAGCAAAGATCACTGTTGCTAGGCTGCCTGTCCAGAAAGGGTCATCGCTGGTAAATCTGCCTAAGATGATTGCACCATGCCACTGCACCCACCTGATTCCAGTGATCGTTCTGGAGCCAGAAGCACCCCCAAACTATGAACCCTGTTTAGGTGGGCATGTCGTGAGCGGAGCCGGCTGGTGCCGGAGGTCAGTCTAGATGGCCCAGGAGACCCCTTCTGACTCACTCTGTTTCTATGTTTCTAGGGGAGTGCAACCCCATCTAGAACAGGTTAAATATCACCTGACTGGACAGACAGCCCATCAAGAGCACCTCCCATCTTCTGGATTGAGTGTCACGTTATTGGCCCTTATCCAGTCTATTACCATGCCTAGACACGGATTCGGAAGAGCCACTGCCTCACCTGAGTTAAATGAAAAAGGCAGGTAGAGCTGAGTGTCATCAGCACATTGCTGATATTTCAGCCCAAACCTCTGGATGACCTACCACAGCAGTCTGTGGGGCGAATCCATCTCAGAGGACAGACACACAGCTAAATAGTCCAATGTGAGCAGAACCCAAGGATCAGGGTCTTTCTTTCTACGATTGGAGCTTATAGGCAGGAGCACATGGCCCCACACCCATGACTGGGTTCTGGCACATCAGAGGCTCATAGCAGAAATTTTCCTAGTGAGGATGGCCTTACTTATGAAGAGTCCTTTACTTCTGAGGAGTGTAAGCAGACATTGCTGCTTCTTCACAGGGTGTCTTCTGGCCTGCCTTTGGAGACGCTGCAGCCTCAAGGATCAGGCGGTCTCTCAGCCTCTGTCTCAGAGGTGGAGTTCCCTTTCCCTCGCGAGTATAGGCCCACGGGCATTTCTCCCAGTGACACAAGTTCCTCCGGGTCTTCTGGCATGGCCTGTGCTTAGGTTTGCTTGTTTCTGGGAGCTCTGGCTTCACCCTTGAAGCAGGACATTACAAGCAGGCATATATGGGAAGTAAGAGCAGACAGTTGGGGTGACGAACTGCTGAGTTTTGAAGGATATGCTGGATATAGAAGGGTTTGGGAAGCCAGGAGCCCCATGCCCTGAGTGGCAGGATTGGTGACTGGCTTTAGAAGTAGAGTTGTGGGTAGATGACCTTGGCATGACAAGGGAGAGAGCTGAAAGTTGGAGAAGGGCATGTATGCCGGCAGTGCATTGGCTTTTGTGCTCAGTGCCCACTCCTACATGGGAGCCTGCGCTATGCTCGAGTGTTCATGCTGTTTGTAGCACTACTGCGGTGGTGTTCTGCGCAGTCCCTGACAGGCTACCTGCTGTGCACACGTTCTCCCCATCAGGACGCACCTCACTTCACAGCGCAGTGGCAAATTTATCCTGACTTACAAGATTTGGAATCTTTCATGTGATACGGCAGAGCTTATTTTGTTGCATGTAAATTCCTTCCCTTCTGTATGCCACATTCATTCTTCCACCCCAATTAACAAAGGCCACAGCTGGAAAGGTATTTGCTTGTTAATTGGATCCCTCATACCCCCCCTTTTCAAGTTCTGCTCTCACTGGAGATGCCCGGGGTAGGAAAAAAATGCAGCATTACATAGAATTCCGGTCCAATTTTAAATCAGCACTGCTATTAATTATGATCAAATTGTGTTGGAATGGCTCCAAAACATTGCCTGCCAAGACATGTGGTGTGTCACTAGAGTCAGTTTCTGAGCTGATAGATATTTCTGAAGAATTACTAATTTTTGTCTAAATTATTGTGTTCTTAACCCCCACAACTCTTAGTGTTGTTTTAAAATCCCCTGCAAAAAGTTTTGTAGAGACATTTGAGCCTTCATTTTCAACATCTAGCTACTATCAGAACTTCATTGACTGTTATCACATCGATCTGAAGTTAGGACCAGCACAGCTCAGTGGAAGAACAATTTCATGGCATACAGAAAGTTCCTGATTCAATCCTTAGTGTCTCTAGGTAGGGCTAGGAAAGAATTTTGTCTGAGTGCTGCTGCTTGGTAGTTTCAACAGTAGTGGGCTAAATGGACCAGTGATTTGATTCAGTATGAAACATTTTCCTATGTTCCTGTATTGCTGCTTGCACACCTGCTATCACAGAGCTAGCTGGGGATGTTCCAAAAAGGATCTTAACAAAATGGGTGGCAAAGGAATAGTAGAAGAGATTTACTACACAGTAAATGTCATAGCAGTCCTTACTTTCATAAATATGCACCAATGGTTTGAGAGGCCATCTCTCAATGGCAGGGTATGTGCTTTACATGAAAAAAGTCTCTGGTTGCATCCATTGATTTTTCAGTCAAACAAATGACGTGGCAGATGATGGGAACGTCTTCTTCCTGAGACCCTGGAGGGCCAGAGGAGACATTACTACCCAAGACAGGCAACTAGTTTGACCTGATATACCACAGCTTCCTGTAGGTTATAAAGTGAGCATAACCACTTAAGGAAGAGATCTTGGGGCCATGAAGGATAAGACAGCATAGGCTATTGGGTGGGTGGCACAGGGAGGGAGGGAGGAAGGAACTTACTGAGGAGATCAGCTGAATGTGCTTTGGCACTGGGCATGGGGCTTAGAAGCAAATTCAGTGTTGGGAACAATTAGGCATAGACTTGGACTACTGTGATGTTGAACGGCTTGCCTTGGATTCGAACTGAGATCATTCTGTCATTTTGGAGATTGTATCCCAGTACTGCTTTTCCTACTCTTTTATTGGCAATGAAGGCTACTATATTTCTTCTGAGGGAATCTTGCCCACAGTAGTATACCTGATGGTCATCTGAATTAAACTTACCCATTCCTGTCCATTTAGTTCACTGATTCCTAAGGTGTCAATATTCAGTCTTGTCATCTCTTGTTTGACCACGTCCAGCTTGCCTTGATTCATGGATCTTACATTCCAGGTTCCTATGGAGTATAGATCTTTGCAGCATCGGACTCTCCTTTCACCACCAGATACATCTGCAACTGAGTGTCCTTTCGGCTTTGACCCAGTCGCTTCATTCTTTCTGGTGCTACTAGTACTAGCCCTCTGCTCTTCCCCAGTAGCATATTGGACACCTTCTGACCTGAGGGGCTCATCTTCCGACGTCATACCTCTTTGCCTTTTGGTACTGTCCATGGGGTTTTCATGGCAAAGATACTGGAGTGGGTTGCCATTTCCTTCTCCAGTGGATCATGTTTTGTCAGAGCTCTCTGCTATGACCTGTCTGTCTTGGGTGCCCCTGCGCAGCATAGCACATAGCTTCATTGGGCTGTGCAGCCCCCTTTACCACAGCAAGGCAGTGACCCATGAAGGGAAAATTATTATGTAATGACCTATTATATGAAGGACATTTTATAAATCTTCAGTATGGGCAGATCTGGAATGCTGCATGCAGTTCTGACTGCTCCAGGTGAAGAAGGGCCTGTTGCTCAGTGGTGGAGTGCAGGCGTTGTGTGCGGAGTGCCCCAGGCTGAGTCCTCGCATTACTAGTCAAACAGATCTCAGGTGGGAGAGCTAGGAAAAATCTCTGTCCATGGCCCAGAGAGCCAGGGTGCATCAGTGCAGGCAATACTGGGTTAGACAGAAATATGGACTGACCCTGTGCAAAGCAACTTGCGTGAAAGTTGCAGAACTAGAAACATTAAAGAGAATGACAAATACAATTAGGAAAAGGCTGGAACATCTTTCTGATGAAAATGAATGGGAAAGCTAAAGGGTTTGATTTAGAAAGCAATTGGTATTTATGTTTGTAAACTTCCAAATTTTGTGAAGAGAACGGATAAGGAAAGACTATTTACTTTCAGAATACTAGAACAATGGTCGGTGGATCTCCAATCAAATTCGTTCTCTGAAATTTATTAATTCTAGACAATAGAAGTTTGTGTTGATGGAGACAGCAGTTTCTCGTTCAGTAACAATGGCATTCAGTATATCCAGGCAGTTTTGTCTGTGCATTGATTTGGGTACTGAAAAATCTGCATAAATAGATTGTAGGGACAAAACCAGAAATCCTATCAAGATCTGTAAATACCATAAATTGTGGACTTTCATAAAACATGGACTTTTGATAAGTAGCAATTGTGATGGCTATAAACATAGTTCATGTTACTGTGACATATACGGCAGCTACAGAAATGTTACATGAAAACCACTGCCTTTGTTTATGTGTAATCATGACCCAGGATATAAGTGGAGCATGGGTTGTTCTTGAATTGTGGGTTGCTGCTGAATTGTGAGCAAGGTGTGAACCCTATTCCATGGTTTAACAATGGTTTAAGCACAACCTACCCAGGAAGTGTGTCCATGGTTTGTTGTTCAATTGTTAATTCTTTGTTGTTCATAGTTAGCGGTCTATAGTTAAACCATTGTGCAGGGGTTGCATGTAATGACAGCCCATGACAATTCAATAACACGCTGTACTCAGCCTGTATTCAACCCATACTTGTTGCTGTTATTATATACAAAGTAGGTCAATATGTTTTCACTGTGCAGAATATTAATTTCCCTCTTTTTGGTTACAATGCTTATTTATTATAAAATCTGATGCTTAGAAATCAATAATTAGGAAGTCCTCTTTTCTGGAGAGCTGCAACTAATTTATAACCCATAGGAAACTGCTTTCCCTCAGGTCCATGTAGCTTAGTATTATCTACCCTTGGCTGTCAGCAGTTCTCTAGGGTTTCAGGCAGAGCGTTTCCACATCATCTGTTCCCTAATTCTTAGAACTGTAGATAACAGGGATTGAACCTGGGACCTTTTGCATGCATGTGTGCTCTGCCACCAAGCTTGGCTAATGCTTGTTAATGATGGTACATGGCATTGGGCAGGTTAATCTCAGTAGCCATCTGCAGAAAGGGAACACTGAGGCTGAGCTAAGTAGACTGTGAAGTACTTTCAGCCTGTCCCTGTGCTGGTTGTATTCATAAATATCCCACTAAATTCAGAAAGACCATCCTATAAAGGAGGATTGCAATCTTAGTGCACTGGCATTGCTTGGAAGAAGGATGAATTGGAAGAGTGCCCTGGCTACCTGTTGTGTATTGTGGGTGTATGTTTGTGCTGCAAAGGGATGAGTAACAGCAGAGGGATGCTTTATCTGCGACCCAGAGGGATGCATTAAAATAACTGCAATAGAGGGGCACTGCCACAGACACAAAAAGCAGTATAAGGAGCAGAGGATTTCAAGTAGTATTTTAAATCTCGTCTTGTGCATGTGGTTTTGTCCTAAATCATAGGCTTGCTCAGTGCAAACCCTTCTGAATGCAGCCTGATCTGTTGGGAATTTGCTGTATCTTACTGTGGATTTTGAGTGTTGCTGGGCCTATCAGACAATATATATGCTAAAGGATAGGGTTTTTGGTGTTTGCAAAATGTCCTAGTTTACAGCTTAATTCAGTTGCTCATTTCCTGCTTTTTTCTTTCTCCAGCTTGAGAAGGAGCTGTCAAAAAAGCTTGAAGAATTAGAAGGTAGGGACTACATTTCACGGAATATCCTTATTTATTTCACATTTCTTTTGCACATCAGTGACACTCTTTATATTTACTGCAGGTGAAATATCAAGCTATCAAGATGAAATAGAGATTGAGTTAGAAAATAGCAGGCCAAAAGCAAAAGGAGTTTATGCAAACTATAGTAAAGATGGTAAGTTTGTTTGAAATCCATTGTTTTAGAAGATGTTAAAATAGAAGATGGATTTTATGCAACCGTTTTGTGTTTGAGCTGTATCAACATTGCACCTTTGCCTACAGAGGTAGAAGTCTTCTATCTCAGAACGAAAAAGTCAAGGGGGGACTGACATAAGAAGGGATAAATTCTCCATTACGGCCTTCAGCAACCTGGTGCAACTTCCATCATCCCCAGCCAGTGCAATCTTTGACCATGCTAGCTGGGGAAGGATGGAAGTTGTAGTCCAACACACTGGGAAGGCTTTTCTAGCAGAATAAAGGGGGGTGGTCTCTCTGATTAGCTGCACTAAGAACGTTGAATGATGTTGTAAAGAATATTGAATGGGAGATCACAACCGGAAGAGAAGGAGTGAGGCTTGGGTGTTTGTGAGAGCAGGTTGATGCCAGCAGCAGCTGTACGGAAGTATGGGGCTTGCTTAGCTTTTTTCTCCCTTCTCAGCCTGCAGAAATTTAAGAAATGTAGGAAAAATGTTTAAGGAGTGATGATGGTCATCTATGCTTTGATGAGTGACTTAAAATAATAAAAAATAAAATGGGAAGGTTGCACAACACCATATCTTGATGCCTCGACAGCCATAGGTCAAATGACTGCATTGCTCATGTTGGCTCCTAGTGCTGAGGGAGCTTTTCAAGAGTGATTGTGGTCTTCCAGCTGGAAGATGGAAAGTGGTGGAAGCACCAGCTCTTGTGCGTGTAGCCCTGTTCTGCACTGCCTGGAACAAGGCCTCCAGCATCTGTTTGCAGAAATCGCCTTCATTGGGTGGAAATGGCTTTTGAGAGCCAGATTACAGCATTTAAGGTGGTAGGATGCAATTTTATTTACTGTTCCTTTGTACATTCTTCCATTTTGCTCTTTCGCACACCTGTAATAGGATAATAGCTAGATCAAATTGCATAAATAAAAAATAGAAGTAATAAAAGCTTCAGCATCATCTCTTCCTACCATCTCTAATGAGGTACACTTAAGAATTTGACCTGCTTAAAATTGTATTTTGTTGCTGACACAGGGTTTATTATTGAACCACTTACCTGTAAGATGTAGCATTCATTAGTCGTGTCCCTGCTCACATTGCAGCTTCTGTACCAGCCACCCTGAGTTCAGAAAATGCCTGAATGGAGATCCCTGGACGGGGAGGCGTGGCATCCACACTCTCCACACTGCACTGTTCATGTGCTCAGCAGAAGGCTTGAACATGTGCAGTGGTGCACATGAACAGGTGTTCTGCCTTTCGCTGTGTTCCTGATCACTTAGAAAAGCAAACTTGTACAAAATCTTGCACAACAGAAGCCTCTCTTCACACTTTATGTGGAACCTATTGAAGGTGGAGTTGAGGCCACTGGGTTCAGTCCTACTCCTTGCCATACTTCCAGCAAACACATGTGAAGATGTGAATTGCACTTGTGTAGTTAAGGCAGTAACTGGGTGCACTTAAAAGGCACATCAGACAGTCTCCTTCCATCCAATGTGGGCTGTTGCTCACTCACCTGTCCTCTGAAAGGGCCAGACTTGTTCTACCATCAGAAGACCTTGTAAATCAGCAATGTGGATCGTAAAGATTTTAAATAAGAGAGGAACAAGAAAAACATACAAAAAGCAAAGGCAGCCATGCTGGCCATAAGGAAAAACAATCCAAAATCCATTATACTGCTGTACCTTTATTAGGCCAACTTGAAGATCACAAAAAATGTGCAAGCATTTGAGATCTCCAGCTCTCTTTCTCAGATCTGCTTTTTGTCTGATTGAGTGATCTGGAGATCTTGAAACCTTACTTCTTTTTAATGAATGTTGTGAACTCTAATGGCGATAGCACAGTATATGGATTTATGAAAATAATAGAGACTTCCGTTTTCCTCTCTGCTGTTTGAAAAAGCAAGGTGCTAGTATGTGAATGACAACTTGCATTCAGACAGCTGCTGGGGAGGGGTAGGAACATTCTGGCACATACCTGTAGCTTTTGGAGATGTTTGCACTATGGTCAACTGGAGGTTTTACAACCAGTGGCTAGTTCACAGGCTGCTTCATGAATAAGCCCTTAATAAGAGCAGTGCAGAACAAGTTTGCGTAGAACCAGAAAAGGAGTTACTAACATCCCTCTTTCTAATATATTAAGCCATTATTCAATGATGATGTGGACACTCTTGGTACAAGTAAATAAGGACGGATGCAACATAGACAACTTTGTGAGAAAACTGCCCTGATAAGGAATTTCAGAACACTAGCGCATATGAGTTGCTATTAATTACTTAGTGATGCATGCTGGCTGCTCTTCTTTGAAGTGTTTCTCCTCATTCTCTTCTTTATTAATGGGTTGGAAAAAAAAATGGAACTTTCCTTTTCTTGTACTTCATCTGTATTCTTTTGACAAAGGCAAATAATGAACTGCTAATGGATGTTATGTTAGAAAGAGTGACCATGCAGGGGTGTGTTCTTCAGAGACGTACAAGAACCCAATCCTGGCCATGTTTAAGCATAAAAAGGTCCTACAACTCCCAGCAGGCTTCATCCATCCATCCTGGCTGGGGCTGGCTGGGAGTTGTAGGACATTCTTCAGCCTACAAAAGCATAGGAAGCCTTCTAGCAGCTTGTAGCACAGATCTGCTTTGACACATTTGATGACATTGCTCAATCCCCAACCTTTCTAGATTTCATAGATGAAACTGTTGCAAGTATATTTGGAGAAGAGGAAGGAGAAGATGAAGAACTAGAAGCGGCTGCAAATCATCTAAACAAAGACTTTTACAGTGAACTTCTGGAAAAAGATGGCTCAAAAGAAAAGGAAGCTTCTGTCAGGCCGCCTGCCCTGGAAACACTTCTTGGCCCTCTCCCTACTGCAGCCAGTCTGGGGATCACGGAATCTATAAAAGAGTGTATATTGACTAAAGATCGAGATGTCAGTAAGTAGCAACTCAGTTGCATTTTTAATTGAGCTAATAAAACATGGACAGGATGGGATTGTTCATTGTGGGATTTCATGTCTGTGCGCCAGTACGGTGAGTATTCTGTGAGCACTGGTGTTAGATACTCTGTGTATTCCCGGGGCATGATGGGCAATCTTTGGGTGGGTGTTTTTGTACCAGCTCAGTTGTTTTATAGGCTGCGAGTTCCAGAATAGGGTAAGAGAATTAATAGTCCTTACATGGGGAATAGTACACCTATACCAGCCTTCCTCAACCTAGTGTCCTGCAAATGTGTTGACTACACACCCAGCATGTTCCTGACCACCTGGATGATACTGACCTAGAGGATGTTATGCCCTGATGAGTATTGTAATAGCCTGTTTCACTATAGACCATCTTCTATTCTGTTGTATTTTTAGTAACTGCCTGTACTTCTCTTGAAAAGATGTTTGGAACTAACGGCTTACAAACTAACATATGCCGTCTGTATAATGAACAGGAATTGCTTTTGTTCCTCCCTTGAGAATTATTAAAGCTCTAGGCTGAGCAGATTTTGCCAGTTTTCTCCTCAGTATTTTACGTATTTAACTCTTACTTCAGTATGCATGTGCTTCCACGTTGAAGGTTCATGAATATCCGTGCGGATTCTTTTGGAACATTTGTATGTTCTCGTATTGCCTTGGGCTCAGTTTGTATCTGTGTTATGCTATCAATTTGTTATTGTCATGTACCCAGGCATTCTTAACTCATCCCATAGTCTTCAGAAGACCACCAAGTTTAGATCTGAATTAGGCTGCATTATTGTTTACCTGGGACACTTGAATGTTGCAAAGCAACGAGTTGCCCTCCAACATCATCTTTATTTGAATTCAGAAGAGTAATTTTGTGATTTGAAGCATAGTGCCCACCTCTGGGCAAACTTCTTTTCTTTTGATTTTCTAGAAATGAATGTTTTGTTACTGGCCATGGCAGCCATTTTGTTAGAGTGCCCACGACACTCTTAAAATTCCTAATGCTCCCATCAGTGCAAAAAATGTGAGGTCATTGCTATACTTCCATCCTCTGTTAATGTGAAAATGTTCAGTTTGCATCAGAATTACCAGTTTTCATTTTGCCTTAAGGTAAATCACATTTCTTGCTAGTAGTGTCCCTGATCCCAGTCACTCCTCTCTTTTCTTTTTTTGAGGTGTGCATTATTTTTATGTTTCTTAGTGCCATTTGTCAAAATCCTTCCGTGTGTGACCTCTTTGGCATGCGGTTACCCAAATGAAACCCTCTGAAAATGTGCAAATTGCTTTCAGTTTGCTCTTAATGTATATTCCATGTACCGTATCATGCTGAAAAGGTCTCCTTAAGTGGGCGATGATAAATCTTGGTCGAAGCAAACCTTTCGAAACAAACCTTGTGTGTGTAGCTCATAAATTTGGCGGTCTTTATAGACTATTGTATCTGTGATTGAGCCTTCATTATGTCGTTAATGAGATGTGAAAATCTTGCTGCAGCCGGCATGGTAATGCTGGAACCCTCCTTCCTTTCTTCCTTCCCCTCCCGCAACTGCTCCATATACAATTTATACTATCTGGAGTTTTTGCTAGAAATTGCAGATGATGTGGTTTGGTTGCTTAATAAATGTTTCTAGTTCCACAAAAAACTGATGTTTTTCTACATGTCCCTTTCTGTCCTGAAATGCTCAGCTTGTCGGCAGCAGCTTATGTTTTTCTGAATGAAAAAAACTTTACATTTGAGTCAGCTGCACATGCTTGTGAAAACATGGGAAAAGGCTACAGCATCTGGGATTGCTTAGATTAAAACAAGGCAAATAAGGGGAGACAAAATGGAGGTGCACAAAACAATGCATGGTATTAAGTCAGTTAGGTGATCATCTCCTCCTCCTCCTCATAATGCTAGAACCCAGGGACATTCCATGAAACTGATTGGTGAGAGATGTGGAAAAGGTGAACATTTTTTTTCTTCATAATACACATACTTGAACTAAGGAACTCACTGCCACAGGAAGTATTGATTGCCACTGATCTGGGTGGCTTTGAAAGGGATTGGACAAATTCATATAGGATAAGGCTGTTGATGACTACCAGTCCGGATGGCTATATGCTGCTTCCAGTATAAGAGGCAGTATGTGCACCAGTTGCTGTGGAGCATGGGTGGGAGAGTGCTGTTGCACTTGTATCCTGCTTGTGGGCTTCCCACAGACAGATGGTTGGCCTGGATTAAATAGAATCTTAGTTTGATCTAGCAGAACTAATCTATGCATAGATCTTTGAGTATTTACATGATGGCTGTGTTGTAGCGGCAAATTCAGACGTGCAGGTGCACATCTTATTTATTTATTTATTTATTTATTTATTTATTTATTTATTTATTTATTTATTTAGGAGACTTCTATGCTGCCCCATTTGCCGTAGCTTCGGGATGGCTCACATCCATAAATAAACTTACTTAAATTAATATAAATTAACAGTAAAAATTACTGTTAATAATGGTCCCCACAGGCAAGGAAGAGAGCCCAAAAATTCAGGCCCTAGTATTGAACTGCCTTGACAAAAAACAAAACAAAAATAGCAACAACAACAACAAAGCCAGCAGTTCTCATGTTTTTCACCTCCACCAGGAGCAGGTTATTTTGTAAAACTCCTGGGTCTTAATTTTTTATTCCTAAGTAAGCCGCCCCAGGATATTTTGCATTACAACAAGGAACAATATTTTCTGAGCAAATTCATTCCCTTCCTCCCCCTGCTACTGTGAGGATTCCAAGCAAGCTTAGAGGGAACAGGGAAGTGTGAAGTGGGTGGAAGATGATGTCAGTGGCCCTGCTAATAAAGAAGGGCTGGTGCCGTGTTTCTGCAAGCCCCGGCTCCTCTATGCCACCGCTAATTGCTCGAGGCAGTTCTTTAAGGAAAATGTGCAGTCCTTGGAAACCCAAGGTTGATGTTTCATTGAAATGGGGGGAGAGGAACTTCTCAAGCTTCCAGTCTAAAATTAAAAAGGCGCATTGCGTTGGGAGTAGATGGACAGCTTGTTCTACGTACTGGAAAGAGAAGATTTGCAGCTTGAGGGTGCTCCTTGACTTGTATTGCTCTTTAGCAGCTGTGCAAAAGAGTGCCTTTTTGCAGGTACACCTGCTCTTCAAAGAGGGGCTGTAACATGAGGGAAGAGCACCTGGTTTGCATGCCAAAGAACCTGGGCTCAGCCCGTGGCATCTGGCCCTAGGGCTGAGAAAGACTTGGGTCTGAGACCCTGCAGTGCTGCTGTCAATCACCATGGACAATTCTGAGTTTGGATGGAACAATGGCTGGGCAAAAGATGTCTTGACCTGGAGCAGAAAGGAATGCCGTAGTTGGACCAGACATGCCTCTCTTGGGCAATGTCCTATGTTCCTAGGGTGAAAGATCTTGCCTCTGTCTTTCTTCCCCTGATAAGTTCTAGATTAGATTCTGTGTGGGTGTAGCTTTGAAGGCTGTTCAGAAACTGCAGCTGCAGCTAAATGAAGCAACCAGGCTCTTAATTAGGCTTTGGCTAAAAGGCTCTGTCATTCTTGCGCCTATAAACTGCACTGTTTACCATTTGGCTTTTGATCATAAATCGGAGTGCTGGTTTTGACCGTCTAAAGCCCTGTGCCCTGGTGACCTTCTCCCTTACATCTTGACCCTGGGAATTCAGAATACTGGTGTAGGTTCTGCAGAGGTTGCCACCATTATGAAAAGCTCTTATGTGGAGCCAAATATAGTTTAGTGGTTCCAGTGCCGTGCTAAAACCTGGTAGTCTCGGTTCTAATTCCTACTCACTCATGAAACTAACAGGAGATCTTGAACAAGCTCTTATTTCTCAGTCTAACCTACCATATGGGATTGTGGTGAAGATAAAATGGAAGCAGGGGAGCATATATATATTATCTTGCCTGAGTTGGAGAAATTCAGAATATACTTAAAGATGGTGATGACTATTATATAGTCTTCTTGCCAAGAAGACAATATAATAGTAGTCTTAGCAAGAAGAAAGACATCCTCTTGGTAATGAGGGCATTCAACCTCTGGAATTCAGTGCCTAGGAGACATCTCTAACTAGTTCAGGCAGCTCTTCTAGGAAACTATTTAAACAGTCCCATTTAGAAGGACCTTCTTCCCGATGGAAAAAGGTCTTTCAATAGGAAACTGAATTCAAGATGGTTATATGACTTTTGTGATGAATTTGGATTTATTTTAAATATTGTGTTGATGGTATTTTTAAATTGTGTCATACTTTACAAGCTGCTCTAAAATTGTTGTTAGGAAGTGGGATAGAAATTAGAGCTAATAACTACTGTGTAGGAGTAGTATATTTATTGTTACAATCTGCTTTAAGAAGGATGAATTTGGGTTTCAATACTTAGTTACTTCGTACATGATAGACATCGGAAATGTACCTTTTTAAAGATGCAGCTGTTTCCACCATCATCTTTTATTTTTTTTTTTTTATTTTTCTTGGCAAGGATCTTGCCATGATTGATGCTGTCAATTACCAGCTTGGCAGGGCTGCATCTTCTTCTGGCAAACTTGGGTAGGTTTGACTATGGTGTTGCTGTGTCTACAACAGTGGTTTTCTCTCCAAAGAGAAAAACATTTTCTCTTTGTAGACTTTCATGTGACAGATGTGATACATATTGGCAACCAGTGGGCAAATTGAACAACTGGATTGCTTCCTTCTGTTCTTGCTGTGGCATATCTTGAGATACTAAGGTTTCAGAAAATTGATGCATTTGATGAAACTCTGTGTTGGAGGAGAGCTTTGCAAATACCCTGGACCTACACAAAGACGAAGTAGTGGATCCTAGATCAAATCAAGGCAGAATTTGCCCTGGAAGCAAAAATGTGAAACGGAGTACATCTTGAGGAGAAAATCATGGCTAGGGAAAGTTGAAGGTAGAAGAAGAAAAGGAAGACCAACTATGAGATAGGTTAACTCCATAAAGGAAGCCGCAGCCTGGGATTGATGAGAGATGA